GTTCTCCTATGTTAAAATAATTCATTTTAAATTATATATGGTTTCTTCCTAATAACTTACAGCTAAAAACGTTGTTTCACTTAACAAATTCAGTTTACACAGATGTCTAAAGATGAATAGCATTCTTATTTGAAAAATGTAAGTTAAAAACAAGATTATGAATACATTGAAAGCATTATTTTAAAGGTTAATTAATGCATTATAGATTCAGGAGTTTAAAATTTGTTTTAAGTAGGGAATTGAACATCTGAAATTTTTCTTTCCCATTTTGTGATGGTATGAATAAATCCAATTCAAATACATTTTAATTATAGGTTTAAAATAGATGAACTTTTATAAATCGTTGTTAGTGAGATATTCTATATATTTTGTTAGCATATCATAGCATCTTTTTGTTCTAATGACTGATAATACTATTTTATTGGGAAATATTAAGAGAAACTTTGTTACAGTTTCTACACTTAACTTTTTTTTCTTTGGCTCTTAGTACTCTAAAATTCATGAGATTTCCATTGGTTTTATTAGTAATGTCTAGAAAATCACTTCTTTGTAAAACCATGTGTTTAAACAATTGATTGTGAATAAATGAGTCATTGGGAATTAGGAAACTCTTAAGTAATAGTGGTGGCAAAGTAGGAGATTAATACCCTAAAGATTTTCTGAATGGTTCTTTGCTGTGCTGGAAGACATTTATGTCTAATGGCATTTAATTTGTTTATAGGGAATAATATTAATAATTTATTCCTAAGAAAGTTACAGTATTTAGGAAAAATTACAGAAGAACCTAATAACTCAAATTTGAATTTTCAGGAAATCTTAGTTTTCTATTGCAGTAATTGAGTTTGTCTAGGTATATGTGTGTTTTGCTGTTATAAGCTTACTTTAGATGCTTCTTTGGAAGATATGTCTTATATGGGTATGTCTTATCTAATATTGTTGATTAATCATTACCTTATTAGCCATTTTATGAATTACTGAGGCCCTTTTAGTTCTCTTTCAGTTTTCATGTTTTTCCTTATTTTCACAGTTCTGCTAAAGATCTAAAAGGGACCAAAGGCAATATAAGTAGAAGCCAAAATTTCTATTCTTATGTTTCTACTACTTGTTGCTCAACTTAAGTCTGTTTAATACCTGTTTAGTAATTGAAACGATATTTTTTAAATCTCTTGTTAATTTTTACTTTCACAAAGCTGAATGGCTGTATTAAAACTAGTTCACCAATGAGAAAAATATAACCACTAAGGTGTGGAAATGAAGAAAGGGTTTTTTTTTTAAAAAAAAAAAAGAAAAAAAGAAAAGGGTCATTTAAAGTGAGCTGAGGGAGATGGGTGGGATCCAGATGCTTGGAGCTGTCTACTTCCAGACCAGGTAAGTAACATGATGCCATTCACACAAAAAAGTTGTTTTGCCTGCATGTTGTGAGTTGGTGGTCTTGGTCCTTTTAATTAGACATAAGAATACATCATAAAATTACGTTTCTTGTTGATCATCTTTTGCAGAAAGACTGAGAATTCCATTGGTAAAGAACCTAACCTGTCCCCTCACCCCCAGGGTGTGAACAGTGAAAAGGATTAAGGCCCACTGTAGGGAAGCTTGCACTAAAGCCTGCACTGCCCTTTCCCCTGTTCTTTCAGCTAAATAGATTTTTAGTTCCCATGACTATCAGTCTGGTGCTTTTCACAAGCACTAAATTCTCGTAAGAAAATTAAAAATGACTTATTTTTTTAGAAACTGGCCCGGAATACTGAAAGATGGTGTTTTTTTGGTACTTTGTTTCATGTTGATAGATCCCATACATATTATTTTTTTCTGATGCGTGTTAATTTGCTTCAGCTTGTTTTGAATTTGGAGTTGAAATAAATATTTAAAAACCAAGGACAGGTTGTTATATGATTAGGTTTGCTTGCCCACAGTTAGCAATTGTAGAGTTTGACACTATTGAATCTTATATTTCATTAGAAATAGCTACCTGACATCCTTGTGGACATAAACTCTTTAACTTTTATCTGGATGACTACATTTATAAAGTGATTTCTTTTCATGTTTAAAAGCTTTTAAGTAGCTTTTATAAATGCTGAAGTGTCATTTTTTTTAAGTATCTGCCAAATTGGTATTGTATTTAATCTTGAAACTATATTTTGGTTTTCTTAACTAAAAATAATTGCATAGTATTAAACATTCTCAGTAGCTAAACCTTTTTTTTTTTTCTATTTAATTTGAGCTTTTGTTGTTACTAACAAATAATTTTTGGCACAGTTTCTTTTTTTTAAATGACTGCTAGAATCTATATACTTGTCACCTTAGTGTGCTAGAAGTGTTCCACTCAAATCAAGGGTTCCTTTCTGGTTTTGTATGTTCTCACCTGCTCCTCACTGTAAATCATTGAGATGTCAAGTTCAATGATTAATTAAGCTGCACGTGCAAGTGCTTTTTTTTTTTTCACCTGTCAAGCAGGAAAGAAGTCTTATAGCAAGATTAGATGGTGCTAATTCACAGCTTTTACTTCAGACTGTGAAGTGTGTAGCAATATTTTATATTTATATGCTTATTCAGAATGTGGCATATCAGGGCTTATTTGTTTTAGAATTCTTAAATATTGTAAGATACAATTATTATACCAAGCCCTATCATTAAACTCCTAATTATAGGCAAAGAAGAAATTGAGAATTCCTACATAAATATTTTGGAATTTAAGATTTATACTTTATAATTATCTTTTATTCAAATACTAGTAGTTGATTTAAGTTAAAGTAAATATTTTTAAGTTTTAAAATTGTGTGTATGAATGTGTCTATATATCATAATGAGATCTATCCTTATTATAGCATGGGTTTAAATTTCTGATGAAATGATGGTGGTAACTACATTTTTTTCTTTAAGTAATAAGTATTTGCAGAATGTAGTGTTAAGCTTCTGGGTACTATTTTATACATTAATATAAGACAATGGACTTGGAAAGCTTGTTCCACTCTAGTTCTTTCATCATCCACCAACCCCCAAAATCATCAGTAAAAGTAAAACCTCAAATTGTATAGTAATCTTAATCTATTATTAAAAGGCCCTAGAAAGAAAGATTACAAGGTAGATTCAGGTTTTGAATCGGTTTTGCCATTGGTTTAGCAGCGGGTGGGCAGGCAGATGCCTGCTCAGAGTAGAACCTATTGCCATTTTTCACCATTGATAGAGTAGCCTTTCAGAGTCAATGAGCTCTGTCAATGTGAGCTTGTCAAGGCTACAACTTCATAGACCTGAGAGGCGGTTTGAGAGGTCAGCCCTTTTCAGGTTCGCTGTGATGCAAATGAACTTTAATGCTTAAACAACTATTGGAATTTTTATGTCTGCTCCTTGTTCTTTTTTCTTCACAAAGTCATTGACGAGACATTCAGTGCTTTTTAAATTGGAAGTTGCATTGTGCTAAAGACCTAGTACAGATTTACGGAGGGCTGAAAGCAGTTAGATCATGTTCTTTTCATGGTGCGATTAGAATCAAATCGATTTCCCTACAGCCTTCAGCATTCAGATGGCAATTTTAACAAAGCTTGGGGGCTAGACAAGGGACAAAACGACCGAACTGAATGTTAATTACACTCTGCAGCCTTATTTTCTTTTGATTTGGGGCTGACTGGCAACTAAATTAACAAAAAGTGTGACCATAACTGCTGCCCTATTTTCATTTAAAAGGAGAGCTGCCTCTAAAAGGCTATCTTTACAAAGAAACAAGTGAGGTCTGCTGATCATTGTTAACAAGGGCACATTTTTTTCTTTAAAATTCTTGCCAAAAAGACTCTTCAAAAAAAAGTAATGTAATAATAAATTAGTCATTGGCATATTATTACCCAGAGAAGTAGCTGATTTTCTGAGTTTTGTGACATAAGCTTGGAAAACGTAAGGCAGTAGTCGTAATTCATTGGTAGTTATGAATTATAATTGGCACCTATGTGACTTTGGTGTGTCTTTAGCATGTTTAATATGCTAAAAGGTAAAGTAACTATTTAAAGTAGATATTTTAAATACATGTTAAAATTTTATTATGTAACATTAAACTGTTCAAACCCAGCTTGATCCTAACAGTTTTGCACCTAGCTAATCCTTGCTTGACATGCACATTTTCATATTTGATTACTAGTACTTCCTTATACCACATTAATAGTGGTAAGATGTTTTTTTCTTTCCTTTGCAAGAAAAGTGCAGCTGAACCAAGTTGCAGTTGATCCTGGTGGCAACACTGTCATTTTTGCACCTGCAGCTGTGTCAGTCTCATCCTAACACCTGGCACCATGAATTATCTTCTTTTATCCATACTCCCAAGCAGGAAACATTTCTTGCAGCATAGCGTATCTTGCTTGCATCAGTCAACTGAAGTAAATTCTCAGTTGATTCCTGAAACAGTAATATTGAATTAAGAGTTTGATTTTACTATCAGATGGCACTTTTATGTTGGTTTAAATAAAATTTTGACTCTTCAAAAAAATCTATTGGTAGAATAATCAGTAAGCTGTCTTTTAAATATGGGCATTATTTTAAGCATGGTGTGAAAATTAGTTTGATTTTATAATTCATTGATTTAATATTAACTTCCAATTTTTTGTTTTGGAACTTACTGAAAGGCCATTTGCATTTTGTTAACTAATATTTACTTTTGTTGTAAAATATGTATTAAGGAGCTTCTGTTACTATTTAAGTATTGGAAACATATTTTTTTAAAAAGTGGGGATTTAATTTTATTTGGCAGATGACATTAGCTTTTAAACCTTGATAGTTTTAAATCAGAGGCTAGTAAAAAAAGATTCATATGATAGAAATAAAGCCATATCTTTTTAAAGAAAGAGAACTCTTTGTGTTCAGGTTACCATTTAGTGCTTAGAAAATGGATAGTGATGCACACCACACTATACTCAGTCACTGTCTTACACCTCTTCCCTTTTCACAGAAAAAGCAGCTGCAAAACAAAGTTTTCTAAAACCAGTCAAGAGTAAACTTTTTTCTCATTTGTCTTCCAGACACGAAGATCGATTGAGAAGTTATTAGAATGGGAAAACAATAGGTTATACCACAAGGTGAGTACCACAGGGAGCAGCTTCGTACTGTTGGGGTCTGAATTGCACAGTATGGAAACAGATGCTTTTGTTGAACTAAAAATATGAAAGGTGGACAAATGGGTTAGTCTGTGTGCTGCAATAAAATAGAGCTCATTTTTCTTCTTTTACTCTCCTACTTGTCTAGCTGTGCTTGCATTGGAGACTGAGCAAAAGGAAATGTGAAACGAATAACATGATGGAATATGTAAGTTAAAGGGCTGTTTTGTGAGTTTCTCTATTAAATGATCATTTATTTTGCTTCTGATCTTATTCTTTCCATGATTATTAATCAGCAAAGGTGTCAGGAGCTTAATCTCCTGAGTGCAAGGATTTTCTACGGTTCACAGATGCATGGTTTCATGTGCAAGACTGATTTATAAAGTTATGAATGACTTGAAAACAAGGCTTCACTGTGTTCTGAAAAATAATAAATTAATTGCCAAGATAAAATAGGCTGAACATGTGTTGATGGAGTGTGAAATTTTAGATGCTGTATAAAGAATAACCACAACTTTGGTTACGCAGCAAGTCAGATATGGCTTTTTTATATAATGCTAATCAAGTTTCCAAGTATGGAAGAAAACCTTTCAGCCAAGCCATTGGAGCTTAAGAAACCTTTAGCCTTTATAGATTTTAACTGTCCGTACCTCAGTGCCCTTTAAAGAATCTGTTTTAAAGTGTTATTAGAATATCGCTTTGTAAAAATTAAAAGTAAGCAGGAAATGAGATGTTGATCATCTTGTGTTTACTTGTTAAAAAATATCTAATTTGGCATATATATACAATGAATTTTGTACTTACTCAGCATGGGATTTAATTTACTGACTCCATGATTTACTTGAGCAGTTTTTCTCCTTTTGAAAATTTCAGAATATTCTAGAAAATTAAGAATTTTAATTTTCTTTTGAGCTTGAGTACTGTACTTTAAATATGGCCAGGTTGTTACTTTAGAAGAAAAAGATCTAAGGAAAAATTAATTGTTGAAAGTAAAACTCAGAGCCTTTGTGAAGTATCTGTTATAACATTTCTGAGGAATTTTGCCTATTCTTTAAAACAATATAGCCATCATAGATGTGTGTGTGTGTATGTGTAAAATATTGATTAAAAGAGTGTTTTGTTGTAAATTATCATAAAATCATTTTTCTCTGTTAGCATTTTCCTGTTCTTTCATTATCACACAGTCAAATCCCATTTCTAGCCTTGAACATAAAAAATATTTTTAAAATGTCTTAGACTAGCTTTATTCAATGAACCAAATAATGTAGATTTTATCTTTATTATGTCAACATGTTAATTTATGATGATGAGAAAGACACCTGATACTTCTTTATAATCGTAACACATTTGAGTAACCCATTTTGAGGTGAGAATACTAGTCTTGTATTTTCATCTTAGATAGTAAGAGGGTTTATGTACATATTTTGGGGAGAAGGATGGATAGGAGATGTAAAGAATTTGGTGAAAAAAAAGTTACTACATTTGTAACACAAACACTAAGCTTAAAACTAAGTTATTAATTTTTTGTGCATTTCTAAATTTACTTTGGAAAGGAAAACATAAAAGTTGTCCCAATGCTATGATTTCCAGATAGAACTGTATGACTATAATTTATTCATAACGTAATTTAAGCTTCCAAAACATTCTGAACTATATGCTTTGTTTGTAAAATAAGTTTCCTTGAATTTTTAGATAATTAAGCACTTCTACTAAAGCCATTATATTATTTTCACTCCATCATAGAAGATATCCAGAAGAGTAGTAAAGATAAAATAAATATTTAAATTGCTAGGAAAAAGCTGGGTGTAGTGGGCATGCCAATAGTCTAGCTGGGGAGGCTGAGGCAGCAGGATCACTTGAGTCCAGGAGTACAAAGACAGTCTGGATAACATAGCAATACCTGCCTCTCTTTTAAAAAAAAAAAAATATATATATATATATATGCATGCTGGGGAAAAATGTGTTTTGCTAGATTTTCTTAGAGTATATATATATTTTTGATAGTTGAAAGTGAGAATAATGTAGCTTAAAAAATTCATTAAAATGAATTTTAAAAGTTAAACTAGCAAATAAAATTCATTTTATCTAATGAATTTGGGCCCTTTTAACCATTTGTCCCTCTTTCCCTCAACTTTTCTTTAACTTAAAGAAATTTCATTTTGTTAAAAGAAAATAATTATCTTTGATTAAATTTGAACATTGGAAATACTAAAAAAATATATATATATATATACACACACACCACCTTGGTGCTAACTTTTCTTTGTTCAGATATGGTAGAGACAGATGATTTAGAATAAATGAGACAAGTGGCTTCTGAAGGAAAAATTTGTAGGGTGTATTATTTAAAAACTAATAGTTCAAATGTAGGCAAAGATAGCCTTTATTTTATGTTATGTATTAATAGTATATATTGTAAAGTGTGGGTATGCCCACAACTGGGGACTAAAATTATAAAGACTGATTGAGGACATATTTGAAATACAAAAGAATTTGTTTAATGCTGACTCTTAAGTAGTTTAAACATTTAATTGTCAAATTTTAAAGCTGCAAAGAATCTTGTCATCTAGTTCGATGCCTTTGTTTTATAGATAGGGAAATGTAGCCCAAATGAAGAAGCTAGTTGGGAGAAAATATTTTAACAGGGAGCTAGTGAATATTTTGTAGGCAAATCACAGGTCAGGAGAGTGGCAAATGTGACAGCTAAGGCTTAGTGCAGGATACCTAGAGTAAGACAGGAATATTTTTGAGCCAGGTATAGAAGTGTGTCTTCTTTATTGAGGCAGATCAAAACCCAGGAGAACTGAAAAGTGAAAATGAAGATTCCTGGCCCAGACAGCTAATCTGTAGAAGTATTGAAATCTAGAGGTCATATCAAGCAAGACACAGTTTCTGAAAAAGAACGATGAGTCACTAGACTTAGAAACTTTTTTTTTTTTTTTTTTTTTAAGGAACTGATTATTTAATGTTTATTGTAATCCTACTATCAATCTGCCTCCTAACTCCAGTCTCAACAGGCTTTAAATCCAAAGGCTTAAATACATTTGCCAACATGTCAAAAAGAACCTTTATTACTTTTTTTGATTGCCACTTACGCTCTCTTGCCAGATGCCTTTGGAGCAGGTGCTTTCTGGGCTGGAGCTTTTTGACCCTTCTGAGCTTTTGGAGCAGGCGCAGCCTTCTGGCCAGTGGCTTTCTGGGCAGGAACCTTCTGGGCTGGAGCCTTTTTACTCGCGGTGGTCATCTTTTTTGCTGGAACTTTAGCAGCAGCAGCAGCAGCAGCAGTACCCTTAGTACCAGGTGCTTTTTTGGGAGAAGCTTTCAGGAGAGCTGCCTTTTGAAGCTTCTTAACTTCATTCTTGATTATTCTGTTCCTCATTTTCTTTGCCTTCATAACTTTAAAACGATCAAAATCTGTCATCTTGGCTTTCCTTTCTCTGGCTTCAATCTTTTTGGCCCATCGTGTGGCTGCCCATTTTGTATTGATGTCTGCCTTCTGCCACGCTTGTCGGACATACTTCTGGCGGGCACTGTGTGGAAACTTGAGGATGAAATCAGTGAGCTGCATGCACTTGAAAGGCATGGCCTGTCTCCTCACTTGAGTGCAAGGTCCATCGACCAAAGCCCTGTTCTGATCAATAACATCTACAATCGCGACCAATTTTCTGGCATGAGGTCCAAAGGAGACGTAGGCCACCCGGCCAACCTCCACGAAGCGCCTGAACACCATGTTGGCGGCGTTAGGCGAGAAGACTTAGAAACTTTTAATATCAAATAATTTTTAAATCACCATCTATTTCATACAAATTTGGGGCAAAAGAAAGAGTTGATTGTAATTTAAGAAAATTCAAATTTGGAAAAACTAGCTTTGGTCACCTTGTGTAACTCTGTGTTACCATATTTTGTTTTCATTGGTTTTCCTTTAGTTTCCTATTAAAAGGCCTTTTGGAACAAATTTTGGCCTGTAATTTTGCTAACCTAAGAAGAAATGGACTTTTTAAAAAATTAAGAGATAAAGGACCTTTTATCTGAAGATTACATATTCTGGTAGAGTAAAATGAGAGCAACTCTAGAACTTAGAGAAGATTCGTGTAATTGGGTTGATTAAAAAGGAGAAAGTCTGAAGAAAAATGTTGGGTGAGCTGCAGTCACGTAGGGTGGTAGAAAGGGCAAGTCTTTGGAGTTAAAGACAATCTTTTATTCAAACAGTGAGTCCACAATCAATCGTGATACAACTTCTCTGGATCATCAGTTTCCTCATCTGTAAAACAGGGATTATAATACTTACCTCATAGAAAAGTTGTTGGGTTTAAAGAGACCCAATGTAGTATGGAACACCTGGTATACAGTTAGTTCTAAATGCATACTAGCCCCTTTTCTCATGAGCGCAGGGGAGCATGCATGTATGCATGTTTGCTCCTCCAGTGTGTCAGGGGCACTATCTATATCACCCTTCTCAGACTTTGGTAATTTTACTTGCTTATTTGTCTTCCTTTTCATAGAGCCGAGGTATTTCATGTATTTGGTAAAGGTCCAGAAATAGAAAAATTCTCAGTGATGGAGCTCTGTATTATCAGATAAAGATCTGTTTTAGTAATGCAAAGTTGCAGTTTTAAAATGTGAATGGATTTTCAAAAAAATTGCGATAGCATATAATTGAAGTTTTAAGAAAAAAATTTTGTTTAAATCTTTTAAAAACTTTTTCTTCTCCTTTTACAGGTCATCCTCATAGAATTTTTACCAAAGACACCGATTTTTCGACCAGATTAGCATTTACTTTATTTATAGAGACTTTCCAAGTATGTTGTCTTTCCAATGGTGCCTTGCTTGGTGCTCTCCTGGTGGTGACATAACATTGGTTCTACAGAATCGTGTGGTGTTTTGTTTGTTTGTTTGTTTGTTTGTTTTTAAATAACCGCATGTTCTAAGTGTGCATTTTTGTCAATCTTTGCAACAGTTATTTCATATAGATGTTTAATACTTAAGTTATTGTGCTCTTTTCTGTTATGTATTCTGATTTTCAAGGATTACTTTTTTGTATTATCAAAAAAATACATTTGAACTTAGCATAAAAAGTGGCCAGCCTTTTTTATTTTGTCACCAAGGTACACACAGTCCTTTATTTATAAATTCCTTAACAGAGAAAAACACCTTTGTAAGGCTCAAGTTACCTATTCCAGCAAGCACACTTTTTGTATCATTTTTTCTTTCTTTTAAAATTTGATATTGTCATTATTTTAAAATAGTAAGTTTTCTTTAATAACCTTTTGGAACCTAACATATCCTTTCTCATACAATTTCTAATGCTCTGTTTATGGCAGATAATCTGTAACATTATGAAGACCTATCAAAAAGTTTTAAGAGTATTACTGTCTTCAAAGGTAGTAAGACAGGATTAAATGTTTATTAGAATAGACAAATCAGTGAATGGTATGCATGTATCTAGTGGTTACTAGAACTCAGGATCACAAAATATAGTAGCATCACAATCTGTGTATATTTTTGATCAAGATGATAATAATGGCCTTACTTGGGTTACTTTTATTGTTTATCAAATCTTATTTACAAAAGAGTGGAAGTATTCCTTTACACAATTTCTGAGGAAAATATTTCTTCCAATCTATCACAATTATAGAATGGATATATGTTTCTGAAAAGTTTTTGAAAGAAAGTAAAAGTTCTAAAACTAAAAGTAAGCTGGTATTTAATATCCCATTGATATTTAGAACCGATTGTTAATAAGAAATGGAGGATGCATTTAGTACTGTTTTTATCCACTAGTTCACTTTCAGTACAGTTAGGTATACTTGTTTTGATTGAGAGTGTGACACATATGTTAAATCAGATTAGCTTGTTTCTTTTAAATATACATATACACGCATACATATTTTTTCTCCTTTTTGTTGTGCATATCTCTATGCATTTTTAAACTTTTAAATTTGTGAATGACCTATATGTAAATTTTTGTTTTTATGAACCAGAAATTATACAAGTTTTAATGTGTGTCAAGAACTTGTTCTATACAACTGTGGTATCGAGCAATAATGTCAATAACTTTTGGAATTATATAAACTATGCTTAATAATTTGTATTGAGAATTGGTACCACTATACAATACTTTTTTCCTTGTATTAAATCTTTTAAATACCAGTTTCATTAATTTATATACCTGTATTTTTAAAAGTATTTCTTTGTACTTCTTCAAAGTACTGTAATCCTTTATAAATTTGAATAGTCAAATGCCAGTATCTCATGTCCTATATCCTGTCTTGGATATTAGGAGCTATCTTAAAAACTAGGATTAAATTTTTTTTTTTTTTGGTTTGGGAATTATATGTTTTCCTTGCCCCCCAAATAACAACTTGAATTTGTGGAACACTTTTCCTGTGAAGAGCTCAAAGTACAAAGAATTCAAATACTTCTTATTTTATTTAACTTGTATCTAGGGTGTGTCCAACCACCTTAAAGTAGTGCAATTAAAAATAATGCCATCTAGAAACTTCAGTATTCCTCTGTGGTTTCAGTGTGAAAAATAATTGTATCTTCATACAATGCTAAATCTGCCTCAGGATTCAGAAACATCAGAAAAATATAATGACTGTGTAAACTATGCAGCACAGTGTTCCGTGTATAAAATTGTATAAATCCATAGAGCACCATATTGATCAGCTTTATAAGAAGAACTTATCTATTTACATAATTTATTCTCCTATTATCAGTCTACTGTGGATAATAATTTTAAAATTACTACATTCCCTTAAGGATATTTTAATGGTAAGATAATTTTCATAGTCGATGATACTAAGTGTAGAATTTTTAAAAGCTTTTTTGATTTTATTCAGCCATGTGCCATTTACTTAAAGATTTCCTAGAAACGTACACTTCCAATGTATATATAGAAAAGAACTGTGAATACTTAATATGTGGTATTATCATAAGCCAGTTATGCCTTGGGCATTTAGATTTTCATGCTTGGATTTTCGTTAGTAGCCTATAGTATAACTCTATCCTTTCTTGAATCATGAATTTAAGTGCCCACATTACTGGATATTAGAGATGCCCATGTTAAGTAAACATCAGTCTAAGGGAATATTTAAAGTGATAATTTTTCTTCAGCTTCTGTTTTCTGACTTAAAGTTTGTGGGACATAAACTAGAGCTTTTTAAACTGGCCAAGAAAAAATATTATTGGCAGAAACTTTGGTATATGGATTCTACATAGGTTGAGTAAATAACTTATGGTCTTTTTAAAATACATTAATGGCATTTTACAATCAGTCACCATTTCTGTATAGAAACATTCTTTTCTCAAAAAATGTACATTATATTTTAATATTTAATATTAATATATAACTCTGGCTATCTGGGTTAAAAGGATACTCCAAAGCTTAATGACTATAGTAAAACTGATGTGATACATTTAGCTTCTAAGGTAGATGTTGGCCCTCCCTTACATGGAGATCACCTTACCTATCTAAAATGATCATCACTCTTTAATGACTAGGTTTCATTTATTTAAAATATAAAAATGTAATTTTACCCTAACATCAACAAAATAAATTCAACAAAGTCTTGAATAATAGTAAACAATGATTTTCTTTTCTTATTAGAAAAACTAGTTTTGTAATTGGGTAATTTTAAATCAGGAAGAATCCAGCTTTCCCCAAGGTTTTGTCTTTAGTGTTATTTTTTCAGTGTTAGCTTCTGGTTGTTTTTTTATATTAATAGACCCAGGCCAACCATAAAAATCTTTGACAATATGCTGCCCTATCTTTGGATGTAAAAGGACATTAAATAATAATACATACAGTTGAACGCACAGTTGCATGAGTTCAAACTACTAGTTTTGTATAACACTATGTACATAGTCAGACTATTTCAACTTTTGTGGTATTTAGCTTCACAATTATAACCTTTAACTGCATGCAGATATTTCACTGTAAATATTTGCTTTGACTTGCTGTTGATCAGTAGTACTAAAAACTACAGTGTGTTAAAAACTGCCTTGGACTGAACTCCAGAATCTAGTCCTATACCCTCTTTTCTTTTATCCTTTTGGACACCATGGATCCTTTTGCTGTCCTCCTGATGTCCAGAGTCTTTACCTAGGCCTGAACATAGTTCAGAATTGCATTTTTATCTTTCTTCCTCAAAGCTCGCAGTAAGAACAGTAATTCTATTTTTTTTTTTTTTTTTTTTTTTTTTTTTTTTTGAGACAGTCTCATTCTGTCGTCCAGGCTGGAGTGCAGTGGCACCATCTTGGCTCACTGCAACCTCCACCTCCTGGGTTCAAGCAATTCCCCTGCCTTAGCCTCCTGAGTAGCTGGGATTACAGATGCCTGCCACCATGCCCAGCTAATTTTTTGTATTTTAGTAGAGACGGGGTTTCACTATGTTGCCCAGGCTGGTCTCAAACTCCTGCACTCAAACAGTCTGCCCATCTTGGCCTCCCAAAATAAGAACAGCAATTCTTTTGCATTCTTAGGTAGGTATTTAAAAGACCAATTAAAGTAAGTCGCATTAAGTGATGAATGGCTGACACCCTCAGTTCTGCTACGGTGGTACTTGCATTTTAAAAAGAGATTTCTTAATTGATGCAGTGGTGCAATTGATGTTTCCTTTTGAAAAGACCCTAATGGTCCACACTTTCTAGGGAGGGAACAATAGGATGGTTGGACATGGAGTTGCTTCTCAAACCTCTGTTTTTGAAAGAAGGTGATTAATAATTAGTTTTTGGGAGGAAAGAATAGGCTAATTTTAAACCAAACTATTAATTATCCCATAGCTGTTTGTGTATAAATATTTAACCCTTTCTTAAATAAAGTAACTCTTAATTTTTCCTTGATATCATAGTCAACTTTATGTTGTTTTAGGACTATATCTTAAGTTGAGGTTTGAAGAATGTCTTTAAATCTTGAGTTATCTTGTTCTGCACTTCTGTGGAGAGCGTTAGATAATAATTAAGAGAAGCCTAAATATTGATATTATTAATCATAATTCTATCAGTTTTTGTAATATGGAGCATTATCTCCCCCACCCCAATGGCATATTGAACTAACAGAGGTTGTTTATAATCTTAATAAACAGGATGTTGATCCTGATTTGGAATTCATTTCTGGTATTCTACAAGACCATCCAACTACTTGGCCTTTTTGCTTTCATTTTCATTTTCCAAGCAGGAAGATACTATGACTACCTCATGGTGTTATCTTGTGAAGCAATATTTTTCAATAGTTTATATCCCTGTTATTAAGTCCTATATAAAAGTAAGTAGTTAGATGTTTAATAATAATGATTGAATAGGTTTTTCAACTTATTTACAAAGTCAGCACAAACTTGAATTACTGTCAGGTTTTGCATTTAAAATGGAAGAGACTGGGTATTCCCTGTATGTACTTAAAATGCTTTACATGTTTAAAAATCAGGGAAACATTAAATATAGTACTTTGAAAAAAGTTTCTTTCTAATAAGATTTTTTAAAAATGTAGTTATGTCTGAGATACTTAAAATCCTGCCTTTTAAAATATCCCCTCTATTTCATAAACATGGTGCTCTGATATTGAGTTGATTACTTTCTTCTCTTTGTGAAAACCAGTATATTGCTTTCCTAGCTCTTTATCTTAGAAAGTATTTTGATGAACTGACCATACCAGGCATCCTTAATTTTGGCAAATAAGGTGTATATTGCTTTGTTGTTTTTTATTTAAAGAAACACAGTGTCAAGCAGCCTTCAAGAGACATACGTGATGGGTCGGTGTTTCGTCTACTTTATTGAGACATAACGTACCCTCAGACTGCAGTTTGTGTCCTATTGTGTCTTCTGCTGGTTCTTAATTTAGTATATAACTGGTTCCATTTCTTTTTTTTTGGCATAAATTCTGTATAGATTTAAAATGTTCTAGAAGGAAAGAGTATTTCCTCAAGAAACCTTTTGCTCTAAATTAAAGAACTCCTCTTCCTTTAGTAGCAGCTATTTAATTAGGTAATTACAACAATCTCATTACATGGCCACCAAGTCTATAAATAGGAGCTTGTTTTAACTCAAGTATCAAAGCACTTTTAAATTCTG